CCTCATCTGCTACGACTCTTTGGTAAACACAGTGCCTCCCTGTTTCCAAGTAATTTAATCATTTTTTTTTTTTTTTTTTTCTTTCCATCTTGCTGCCTAAAATTCACCAATATCTGAATTTGAATGAGAAAATGAGTGAAATGTCTAAACCAATGGCTGAAGTCCATCCTCAGTTTGGTTGTATGAAAGGTTTAAAACAACAGATCTGTTCTTCAAAATTGGAAGTGTTTTTTCCACAACATAATTGTTTAGGCAGGAGAAGGAAGAATCTATCGGAGGCTTGGGATTTTAGAATCGTAGGAGATCAGGGCTGGAGGGATATCACAAGGCCCTCTAGTTCAGCCCCTTGCCCGGGGGGCCGACTACATCATCCCAGCCAAGTGTCTGTCCAGCCTGCTCTTGAAAATTTCCGAGGGTGGAGATTTGCACAACTTTTCTGGGTAGCCCGTTTCAGTCCTTGACCACACTCAAAGTCGAAGTTCCTTCTAATCTCCAGCCTGAATTTCCCCTGCTGCAGCTTGCTTCTGATGCAGTCCCCTACAGCCACAACTTCAACATCCTTGCGTATTGAAATGTGCTTGTTTAAAGCAGTCTGTCGGCCTCCAGAGGAGTGATGCTGTTCTCTTTTTTTTTTTTTCTTCACTGAAACAGTGAGGATCGGAGCTATGCTTGCTTATACACCCCTTGATGAGAAGAGCTTGGCTTTGCTATTAAATTACCTGCATGATTTCTTAAAGTAAGTACAACATTTCATGTCTGATTACAGTATAAATTGAAAGCCTGTCTTTATGGCTGTGACCCTGTAAACACAAGTGTGTGCGCACATGTGTGCTGGGTGGGGGGGGATTACATGTTGCTGTTGTCAGACTAACATTTGATTTGTGATGTGCATTAATTTCATGAATAATTAGCAATTTAGAGGTAAGTTTTAAATGAATCAACTTGGAGGTAACTTTTAATGTGCAGCAGCCTGATAGGCTTTAAGGGATGAAAATAGTTTTCTTAACTTTTTTTGGAGCTGTTCAGTTATGAATAATTCATATTGAAATTTGAAACAAGTAGCAGACGAGGTAAACTGTTAAAGATTTCAGGTGCTGGAAAAACATCTAATTTTTCTATTCTACCAAACTATCTGAAAAAGGCTGTCTGGTTTATGTTGCAAGGTTATTCCTCTGTAGTAATATGACTTTACTCAATAGATTTTTGCTGGAAGCTGCTTTGGGACTCTTGTCTATGCATTCACTTTTCTATCATCACAAATAGTTTGCAGTATCTTTCTGTTGAAGATGCATCACTTTTTTGGGGGAGGTGCCATTGCTGAAAAGAGCAAATGTTTCATGATGTCTGAAATGTACCATGTTTCTGAAAGGAGAAATCATCAGAACAAGTTTGGGAAGGGGTCAAAAACAAATGTTTGTTCCTGCACAAACTGCAACAGCTACTAATTCAGGCCACCTCCATCAGGAGAGTCTGTTTTGAAATTGGTTATTTACTATTATTTGCTAAATAAAAATTTTTTGTCCTTTTGTATTTTATGTGGTGCTTCATAGGAGCACCAGCAAAAGCTTCACTGCATTATATAGGAATAAGATATAGACACTCCTTGTACAACTTATTTAAGTAGGCAAAACACCTACTTTTTTTGCCTCCCTCATTTTCAAGATGGGGGGGGGGAATAAACACTGAGAGCCTAGATGACAACTGACCTGAGTCCACACAGGAAGCTAGTGGCAGAGTTGGACCTGAACCTAGACCTCTCAACCCAAAGCGTGCCTGAGCTGCCGGCTCTCTTCATGAACAGCTCTTTCTTAAGAAGAGCTTAAGCTGTTTTCTTTCTTGGTCTGTTGCACAACTTGTTGACCTTAAGACTGTTCAAGATGATGATGAAGATGATTAGCCCTAAATGAAAAGCTGGTGCACACTTTTAAAAGCGGCTTAAACGCAACGTTGTTGACGGATGATGAGACTTGGGTTTTGGGGCATTTGGAAGCTTTTAAAAATTTTTACCCTACCCAAAATCTTTTTAACATAGGACATGAATGCACAGTCTAAAAGTGGGGATTTTTCATAGTTTCATACCTTCTAGGGTCGGAAGGGACCTGAGCAGATCATCTAGTCCAACCCCCTGCCATGGCAGGAAGAGCACTGGGGTCAAACGACCCCAGTAAGGTGGTCATCCAACCTCCTCTTAAAAACCCCCAGGGTGGGAGCCTGCACCACCTCACTTGGAAGCTGGTTCCAGACTCTAGCCGCCCTGACCGTGAAGTAGCGCCTCCTGATGTCCAACTTAAACCTTCCCTC